CATTAAGATGCAGCAGCACATTTGTAATTTGTATTATTGTCACTCTCTTGTGCCCCACAGCCTGTAAGTGTGAGCAGAGTGGCACGGCCAGATGTGACAAGCGAACAGGGGCTTGCATTTGTCTCCAGGGAGTAACAGGGTCTCGCTGCAACACCTGTGCCCGTGGGCACTGCAGTCGCTTCCCTGCCTGCCCAGTTTGCCCCTCCTGCTTCTTCACCTTGGACCAGGAGCTGCGCAACCTGACCCAGACCCTGGAGCGACTCTCGACTCGGGGCTCCAGCTTGCCCAGCATCGCTGTGCCTGATCTGAGCCTCCGCATCCAAGCCCTGGAAGCTTCCCTTAGCCAGATCCAAAGCTCCCTGCAGCTCCCACTGGAATCAGCCAGGCGCACGACCGAGGTCCTGGGAGAACTACGCCGTCTGAGGTGAGCTGGAATTGAGTTACGGGCCTATCTGTACTAGTAAAACGACGCTTCATAAAACATTTGCTGTATTTTCTGAACTCACTAGATGGTGCTGTCCGTTCAAAGAGGGTTCTAAGCGTACCTCCAAGCAAACCATGAGCACCATCTAGTGGAGTAAAAAAATATAGCAAATGGTTCATGAGGCGTCGTTTTGGCCATCACAAGTCCATACCCTTCATGTAACAGAAAGTAACATGTCACCCATACCAAATGAACTACAGCAAAGAACAAACTGGCCAGAAAATGTACCCCACGGCATAAGAGAAATGTGATTTTCAGCTTCAGTCTGACAGAAATGGCTCATACCATAGAGACTTTAGTTCTGCATAAAGACACACTACAGAAACCTACAGCAGCCATAACTATAGCACAGGGATGGATCTATAAAATCCACACATGATCGGTGACATTATACCTTTGAAAAAGGTATTTGACCTCAACTGAATAAGAGTCCACCTGAACAACAGTTTAAGGTGTGTAGAAGAGTTTAGTCATAGATCTGAAGAGTTGTGTGGGTGTTCCTCACATAGACTGCCATGCCTGCCCCCAACCTGCCCACCCTATACCCTCCTGCAGGAACCTAGCAAACAGCCTGGATCCAGGCGCATTCCCAACAGACAAAGGCTTGACATTAGCCTACGAGCTTGAAGACCTCAGCGCTAGTCTGCAGTCTTTAATGCTGGAATACAACCGCAGACGGGACAGCCTGAACGGAGGCTCTACCAGCAGCTACAGAGGTGAGGTGTGGCCTGACTGGCTGTGCTGGTCCCACATGAGTGCTGTCTGATGTATGGTCCTAATATGTGTGTGCGTGTGTGTGTGTGTGTGTGTGTGTGTGTTCAGTGTCATTCAGACAGGCTGCCCAATGCAATTTGGCCTTGGGAGAAACTCAAGTTTGTAAAATCTCAAGATCTACAGAAGAGGCCACTGCTGCTCTAGATTTTTAGTACAGTTTCGGGAGAACAGTGACCAAAAAGTTACAAAGGGTGATGGAGTTCAGAACAGCTTAACTAGTAGTATCATGACCACTACATACATAACTACCCAAATCCAAACTAGTGCAACCGGTTGGCTGACAGCTACTTTTTTTGTTGTGTTTCTCATGTAATTGGAGTGAGAACCACCTTCAAGAGCCTTTCAAGATGGGTAGTGGAATATCTTCAAAATTTCAGGTGGATGTCTAGAATGGGACTGAGTTCCCCCACATCCTAACCTTCTCGTCTGTCCTCCACAGGACCCTTTTCTGCCATACAGTCGGCCTATCAGGACTCCAAAGAGGCCATGAGGAAGGCGGAGGCCAGCCAGGAGCTGCTGAAGCAGGCTGCCCAGGCTCGTGGTGACACACTCTCCCTGGTTGACCGTGTCCAGCTGACCAACACCAGGAACCTGGAGGAACTGGAGCGAGATCTGACATTAGGGCCCAACCTCACACCCATAGCTAAGATGGTGAGGGTCAACCACATCTTGGAATACAACTGATAGAAAAAAGTGTGACCAGAATATCCAAAATGTGACCCTTTGCTATCTATTAACTTGAATTGATTGGTCTTATGATTCTTAAGAATTTGGGAACTTAAATATTTCTCCCCCAATTCCTGAGCAACATGTAAACCTTAGCTAAAATATTTTACCCCTTAGTCCTAGAAAATACTGCTGCCTTGACAGTGAGTGGTATTGCTTTTACAGGTGTGTGGCAGCACTCGATCTACTCCCTGCACTCCTCAGCAATGTGATGGACTGCTGTGCCCCACTACTGCCTCTTGTGGCCAGGAGGAGGACTGCATTGGGGCACTGCCACTAGGGAACAAAGCAGTGGCAAGTGCGGAGGAGGTCAAAGCTAAGCTGAAGAACTTCAACACCAGAATTACCCAGGTCGCTGATCAGGTATGACACGATGAGTAGGAATTCCCCCAGTTGTCTCACTGTAGACAACACAGTAGAAATGCATCATGGAAATACAAAAGCATACAGCCCAGGTACATGTAATAGAATAGAAGGTCCTCATTTGATTGGTCCAGATTGTCTGAACTCATTTAATTCATGCTGATGTCATGCCATCTGTGAGAAAGGACATCAGCTGATGGTATTGTTATGCAAAGGAGTATTCGGGTAACTAATTCTTTGCTTGTTTTTCCAGATCCAAAAAACACAAGATTCAGCAAATCAAGTGAGGCTGACAACTGACGATCTAGCTACTCAGATCAAGCAAACGCGGAACACCCTGGAGGCAGACCTCAGCAGTGCTCGACTCTTTGTTAAGAAGCTGAAGGACTTACTCAGAGGTACGTTTCCTGCATACTGATAATTAAAGAGGGATTAAAGGGATTTGAAAGGGACTGATGGAGAAAGTGACATTTATAGAATATGACAGTGAAGACTGCATATAAAATCCAATGCCAGTTTAACACCATTTTTACAGTACTGTGCTTAGTGCTTTGAAAAGTAATTCAAGCCCGTTTACTCAATAGCTGTCGTAATGGTCCCTTGCAGAAACACAGTTTCATTATTTTCTTGAGCTAATGCTTGTGCTTGTGATAATCATTTCAATGCACTACTAAAATGAGTGTCTTTGTGTTTATTTCTGTGTATTTGTGTCATTTGTTAAATCTTTGTATGTATGCCAGTTTTGGTGTAACAGAGTAGCTAAATTTGTCTGTGTGCTCTTCCAGACCCAAACTCTGACCCAGCCATCATCCAGACCGTCAGTGAGGGTGTCCTGAACACCAAGCTGCCCCTCAGCCTGGACTCTCTGAAACGGAAGTTGGAGGAGATCCAGCGTCTTGCCGTCAGCCTACCTGACAGCTCCAGCATCCTGACCAGCACCGGCCCACAGCTGGACAAGGCCCGAAGACTGCTGATGGAGGCCGAGACTGCCAGGTACTCAAACGAGGCAGTGGTGTATGCCTTGACACCGCCTTAACACTGCTTAACACCTGCTTTTTGTCGCCTTAATACTGCTTAACACCACCTTTTCGTCGCCTTAACACCACCTTAACACTGACCTCTAATTCTGGCAGAGATGATGCCTTGGAGGTGGGAGGAAAGGTCAACAGCTTTCTGAGCAACTTGTCGAGCACAGAGGGCCTGATGGACAACCTGGAGGCCAAGATCCAGGGCAGCCTGGGGCAGCTGGACCAAGCAAACAAGAATATTGCCAAGGTAGGAAACCAATTCAATGTTGATGTAACTATTAACTCTGGACCTACAGTATATGTATTAACCCTAAAATTTGATGTACTTGCACTTTTACATAAAATTTGATCTATTGACCGATTCAAGGTTTCCTGAAGTTTTTTGTCTGGATTTTAAATTTCATGTTTTTTTCCCCACCTACCTCCCCTAAACTGGCAGGCTAATGTGGAGCTGGGCCCTGCCCTGGAGACAGTGAGAGGAGTGGAGGGCATAGTGAGGTCCATGCAGCCACAACTGGACAGCCTGAGGACGCTGGTGCAGAGTGGGACACAGCTAGCTAATAAGGCGCAAGATCAGGCTCAGGGGGCTCAGCAAGAGGCGATGGCTGCTGCCACGGTAAGCCAATGAAAATTTAGAGTTGCCCAGGAAGGGGCAGGCTCAAGCTTTCAGTGCTAGGATGTCACTTCCTGAGTACAGTAGCCGTTCCAGATGGAAACGGCTGTGGATTTCTATCCACTGAAAGACTGATTTATGAAGAAAACAGTTCTCATGATCAGACATTTCTAAATGAACCATTTCTCCTGGTTATTTGTGTGTGTGTGCATGTGTGTGTGTGTGTGTGTGTGTGTGCATGTGTGTGCGTGTGTGTGTGTGTGAGTGCAGGGCATACAGACCCTGGAGGACCAGCTGAAGCTTCTACAGCAGAAAGCAATGGAGGCAGGTTGGGGGGGTACAGATGGGGTCTCAGAGGAGAGTGTGAGGAGACTACAGGAGGAAGCTTCTGCCCTCATCCAGGAGACCTCTGGCATGATGAAGACATTAGCAGGTATGTTAGTATTGGCAGCACGCTGGACATAGTGGGATGTAATTGGCCCAAGTCTTGCCATTTTCTGACCATGACCTCTCCGTCTTTCCAACCAGCTCGGGAGACGTCCCTGCAGGAGGCCACGGACCAGCTCCTCCAGAAGGCTTCGATGCTGAATGGGTTGGACATCCAGGTGCAGGATATCCTGGCCAACATTCGCAAAAGGGCCTATGCACTGAGCCACTGCCAGCTATAACCACAACCCACCTGGACCTACTCCCACTCTGCAAGGAACCCCCTCCCTGAATTATTTATTCATCCCGAAGCAAACAGTCCAGGACTTGGATTAATATCCAGATCGATCCTGGGATTCAAGTTCAAGGAAATCTAGCAACTATGATGCAAATCACAGACAGACAAGAGATGGTCTCTGGTTTAGACAGTTAAAAAAAAAATTACGACTCAAATACCCTCACTTTTTGGCATCCAAACATGAGTCAATAAGGTGTAATAAAGAATATTTTGTGACTGTGAATGTCTGCCATTTTTTGCAAGCATGCAGTCATGACAAGGTCTAAAAGCGTTTGACATCTACCACTTCTGTCAATATAAGAAAGAAGATTGCAGTTCGATGTGGTTTGGTATTTATTACTTCAGTTAGGACATGTCATATGGGTATTATATGGTTACAGATTTGAGGGCAGGATGGAATGGTGGTCAGTGGTTCACGCTGGTTAGGCCACGGATGTGATTTTTACCCTCAGCATCGTGTGTCTGGAGTCTGAATGATCTCCCTATGTGACTCCAAAAAACCTGCAAAGATTTCGGTCCACGTCCTTTAGCACTAATGCAAAATGCAATTTCATTTGTTAACAGCAGCAGTAGGCTAACATGGCTTCATTACAGTGACCACTAATGCACATCTGTTGGGAAGTTCTCAGGTTTTTACACATGTAAATGGCACAAGCAGTCGGCCATATTGTAGCATCCAAAATATACAGCATCATTTCCTATTTTCCTGCACTGCTAAACCAACAAAAAAAGAGAGGGCGTTCCAACCTCATTCTCTTCCACTTAGTCTTAGAAACATTTAAAAATCCAGAAATGGCAGCATGAACACTAGAGAGGCTGGTCTGAAATCTAATTTGAGGTGGCTGCTTCTCTTGCTTAGTCTGTAACTGTGATGTGAGCTAATATGTTAACTATTGATAAGTCAGGCCATATTTGCAGCAATGCAGTAACCAAGCACAGCTGCCCACACAACCAAACAAAGAGTCATGAGTCACGAACGTCACCACTATGATGACACAAGTGAGGCCTGGGTATCATAAACTTACAAATAGCTGATACTCCGTGCCCACTGGCTCTAATGCCAAGTGCCAATTAAAATATACAGCACCCATAATAATAAAGCTGTGCAGCCATGGACTGTTACACTCAGACAGATAACGGGCCAAAGGCTGTAGGCTGACCCTGAATTTGAGAAGGAACTGAGACGCCTTAATCTGCAGCCCGTAAGTCGTCAGCCTGTAGGAGAGAGACAAAGAGAGGCGCATTAGGTATAGTCCACCTAAATCTCCTCATGACCTTGCTGGAATCTGATCTGTGCAATCGGACATCCCTACCCCTAGCCTAATGGCAGGTTTCCAAAGTGCTGATAAAAGTACCGCCCTCTACTGGCATTTGATGTTATTACACTCTTATCTTCATACTAGAGTACATATTAAACTGGTAAAGGCAGCAAAAGTAACAAATACACCAAAGTCATGTTTAAGAGGTTCCTATAATTCTAAAGTCTTAAGGGTTTTTATTACTCAAACCAAGAAACTCCACAGTCGTAACCAAGATCTTTCTCTACCACAGGGGCCCTGTAGTCCTATTTGATAGATTCCACCTTGCAGATTCCTACCAGACATAAAGTCTTACAGTACAGTAGTTCTTAACTTCACCCCTTCCACTCCCCATCTGCAGGCGAGTGCTGTACCTGCTCCAGCTCTTCCCAGTGTGCTCCACAGGAATAAGCTCACATGATGGAACACATGGTGGTCTTTTCCTGTTCCTCCCTCTCGGACTCCGAGGTCATGGACTCCTTTCTGCAGCACAAAAACCATGCTCCTGTTTTAGCCCGTCTCCTAGCTTTCCGTACTGAATAAAAAAATTAAAGGCAAGGATGCGCTGGGCAATGTACCTGCTGGTTTCCATGGTAGCAGCCTGGTTTGCATGTTGGCCTGATGGCGGTATAATGAGGGGTTCACTCAGATTAGCCTGCAGCAGGTGGAAATGGTTCCTTGGATTCCTGGAACTGGATCGAGCCATCATGCACTCACTCTCCGTACCACTAGTCAGGATCCCGTTGTGTTCCAGGTTAGCATTGGGCCGCTTGTTCTCAGGATCAGTGGGGGAAAGGTCTCCCTCCACCACAAATCCCTGTTGCCCATGAAGGGTGGGTCCGGAGTAGGCCAGCTGCATCTTCTTCAGGTGATTAGCAGCTGCTGTCGCAGTTAATGTTTGCTAAATAGAAAAAAAACACACATACACCTCTGCCAAATACTCCTTTATATCGTAAATGCAATGATTTTGCAGATCTACCCTGGGAGCTTAGAGCAATGCTATCCTACTGGAGCCGTTCATCAGCAGTGACCCCTTGCCTGCTAACTCCCAAAGAAGCTGGGAGCACACTCACCCTCCACTTCCACGTGGCAAAGTTCTTTTGGATCTGCTCACTTACGGAGTGATAGATGTCCTGGCTCTTAGCTGTGTTTCCCATTATCCTGCCAGAAGGGACAGGAAGGACTCGGTCAACAGGAAGACCTTGAGGAACTTTCCAGCATAACAATAAACCTTTAATCCAACCATAAGTTCTACATTTCTGTCAGGATCTGGCCCTGTCTCATTTATTTTCTTCCCGTTTGGCCAGTAGGTGTCGCTGGCCATCCTGTTTCCTCTGTCTTACAGCCCTAAGTCCCTAGCGTGTTTCCCTGCTCTCAGGGCCACTGCGAAGCTGATGCCCCTCCAGTAATGGGCTGAGACCTGTCTTGCCTTTTGTTTAATTTATTGGGTTTTATTTTACCCTTAGCTTTTAGTATTGTTTCTTTGTCCTTGCTTTTTATTCTTGTTAATAGTCTACCCTGCTCATGCCTTGTTGAATTATGTACTGTTTGTTACTAGTTTCTCTTTATTCAGTCAGTCCTTAGTGTTTGTTAATATTTCCTAGTTTATTGTGCTTGTTAATAGTAATTAATTCCATCTGTTCCTTGTTTTCCTGTGACTGTCCTGATTGGTTGATTTGGTTATGGTCCACACCTGCCCCTTGTTTGCCTTGTTGTCTTATGTAAGTATTTAAGTATCTGCCTGCATTCAGTTCATCAGTTAGTCATTATGTTTAAGATGTGTGCATATAGACCAGCGATTCTCAACCCATGGGTCGTAACCCAAATTTGGGTTGTGGAAAGTTCTGTAAGAGTTGTGAAACAAAGTGGAAATGTAAGCATTAAAACCAACAAGCTCCTATGCTGATCCACAATCAGATTTCCTAGCCCTAATCTTAGAATTAACCTATACAAATGAGTCTTGGGTCTGCAAATGCTTGGCACAAAACTAGTGAACACTTAACCAATCCATGAAGCCAAACCACAGATGCTTAATTTAAATTCACTGGCACATCCAATCAGAATTCAGTAATAGGCATTAATTGGCATAAATTGCAGAGTGCATTGCATGCTTGATCATAGTGTTAATTTAAATCTATACGTGATATAGGGTCGCGACTGAGCTGGCATGGTAGAAATTGGGTCGTGGTGCAAAAAAGGTTGAGAACCACTAGTTTAGACATTTGTAGCTTATTATTGTGTTTGTTCTTATTTCTCTCGTTCAGTTCCTGACTCTTTGTGGTCCCTTTATTTTGTGGCTTTTCCCTTTGTGTTCGGTTTTTGTTAATAAAGCCCTTTTTCTTGTAGCCTTTCTGTGGATCCTCCCACAATTTTTCTGTCCCTTTGCCATGTCCCACCGTAACAGTTTCCAAATTGGCATTTTACTTACCAGGGGTGTTGAAGTGCCTGCTCTGAGGTGTAACGTAATTTCGAGTTCTTTTGCATCATGTTGCGAATGAAGTCCTTAGCTGAGAGAAAAACCAAAGACAGCTACTGAGCATTAGAGACAAATCAGAGCTGGGTTCCCTGGACATTATCTGCACTTGTCACTAAGCACCAAGCTAATTCGTCCTTCCTTCGTCCTGTTTTGTTTATCTGTCGACTCACCAGAATCAGAAATGTCGTCCCAGAAGGGAGAATCAAATTCATACTGGGCCTTCATGATCTTTGCATAGAGCTTGGTCTCATTCTCCTCGTAGAAAGGGGGGTATCCACATAACCTGGCGAGGAACAGAGGCAGAGTATATTCTGGAAATCTGCTCTCAGGATAAGCACAGTCAAGCAATATCCTGACAAGCTTACTCATTAACAACAATTCAGAGAAATCAGGCTATCCTATTGACAGGATTTGTCTCCTTCAGATTAGTCCTAAACTTGAGCCATGATTTTTCAGGACAGATCTGGATTAGTACCTTTAAAGGACAAATAATGGTTGATAACTTGAAAAGGATCCGAAAAATCATAATGGCAAATATCATCAGTCAGGTTCTCATACAGAAATGGATTACTCGGCAGTCCTGATGAGTTCCTTGAGTTTCCTTCCTAGTTATTCGCATGTCCATGGATATTTTACACTGAGAGTCTGGTCTAACCTGGAATGGTAACCAAGGCTGCGCAAAGATGTTAATAAGCTTAATAGAAGCACCGTGCTGATGAGTGTGATACAACTTGCATAGAATTACTCACAGGATGTAAGTGATGACTCCAATAGACCAACAGTCAACGGTTTTGCTGTAGTGCTTCTGGGCTAAGATTTCAGGGGCTGTAGGGTTGGACATAATATTTAACCACTGAATTATTGAAATTCACACTGTTTGAGCCTTTGAGCCCCCCCTCCCCCCAGTATCGCCTTACCCACATATCCCGGCGTTCCACATGCTGTCGACATGAGTCCGCTGTCCTCAATCTTGGAGAGACCAAAGTCACTAATCATAATCTTGGCATTTTCATCCTGGCTGTAGTACAACAGATTCTCTGGCTATCAGGGGACAAATCAAAGGACATCAATTTGTCTCTTTTTCCAGACTTTCTTCTTCCTCGCAGTACCCTTTTGAAAAGGTAAGCAAAAGATATAAGGGTAGAGATATGATCAACCCTTAGAGACCAGTTTAGAGCAGAGATCATATCTATTTTACACAAAAAGTAATGGGATTTATATAAAAATATGCAATTATTTCCAAAAATATATATAAGAATTAGCATTCTAGCACATTCCTTAATGTCAAGATGTGGTCAAAGATGGGTGTGGTGTGATGTTTTCAGTGCAGACATCACCATGATGGCAGCACACCTTCAGGTCTCGGTGGACGACGTTGTTCAGGTGCAGGTAGCTCACGGCCTCCAGCACCTGTCGGACCACGTGGCTGGCATCCTTTTCCGTGTATGTCCCACGCTCCAAGATCCGGTCAAACAACTCACCGCCAGAGACGCTGCAGAACAGGCCAGGGGTCGGACGAGACATGAAGGTCAAAGTGCACTTAATATGCACAAAAGACTAAGACTGAGGTGCACTTTACTGATCCCAGGGGGAAATTAAATTCTGGATAATAAACATTGCAAAGTGCCATTTTGTCCATATTTGTATGCTAGTGGACAGCAATAAAGAGAATGTAATAATAGAAGATAGTTGGAAATATTTCTATAGTACGAGAGAGAACTTCAGAACATCAGCAGGTCATGACGGATCAGTACTCACAACTGCATGACGAGGTAATAGTGGGTGTGGCTTTCATAGAAATCTTCCAGGCCAACAATGTTCTCATGTTTGATCCTGAAATAGTCCCAAAGCAGAGATCTGACTTACCACCATAGCCCTGATATTGTAAAGCAGGTGGGCAGGTGGACACCCTTCCTGTTACAAATGCCTTCTGTAATTGGTTGTTATTCACAAGGACAATGCTAATTGGCTTAGGCCTCAGAACTACAGAGCACCTGCCATCTCTGCTCAGGTGAGGGCCTGCAGCACCTCCCACCTCCCCTAGGTAAGGGCCTGCAGCACCTCCCACCTCCCCTAGGTAAGGGCCTGCAGCACCTCCCATCTCCGCTCAGGTAAGGGCCTGCAGCACCTCCCATCTCCGCTCAGGTAAGGGCCTGCAGTACCNCTCCCCTAGGTAAGGGCCTGCAGCACCTCCCATCTCCGCTCAGGTAAGGGCCTGCAGCACCTCCCATCTCCGCTCAGGTAAGGGCCTGCAGTACCTCCCATCTCCACTCAGGTAAGGGCCTGTAGCACCTCCCATCTCCCCTAGGTAAGGGCCTGCAGCACCTCCCATCTCCGCTCAGGTGAGGGCCTGCACTACCTTCCACCTCCCCTAGGTAAGGGCCTGCAGCACCTCCCATCTCCCCTAGGTAAGGGCTTGCAGCACCTCCCATCTCCGCTCAGGTGAGGGCCTGCAGTACCTCCCACCTCCCCCAGATGAGTGCCTGGATTTTCAGTCAGGACAAAGTACGCAGGTCAAACGCTCCACAGTCCAGCTCTGAAGTGTGACCCATTCCATAATGCTGTTTTTCACGTGGGCATCAGCATTCAATATGACTGCCTTTGCAGACAACTGTACAGTTGTAATGGACTCCACCGTGCGTTTTCACCCCACAGAAGGGTTAACACTGTCATATCACAATGAACAGTATAACTATCAGTGAGGACAATAATCCTCAGTCTGACTGAATACAGCACTCAGAACACACTTCCTTGCCCCCCCCCCCATTTGAAGGTGTGTATGTGAATTTTATCTTACCTCCTCAAAACACTGATCTCATTCTCCAGTTTGTTGGCCTGTAGATGCTGCTTGTTCACGCATTTCAGTGCAAAACGGTTTCCAGTCTCCCTCTCCCTCACCAGGAACACCTCAGAAAAGGCCCCCCTGTTTGGCAGAAGGGGGGTTCTTAGTGTCCTTCGTTAGCTCTGCCTGCTTCCAGCTCTCCTTTACTTGAGTCTAGTAGCCATGACACTTATCTGACCTACCTGGAGTCAACTACGACACAAGAAACCCAGGTTTTGCAATCTTCATGTTTTAAGTGCTGTACACGTAAATTGTTTTAATTCCAGATTTGAGGTGGAAATGAAGACTCAGCCACAGATAACAAGGGGCTGTATCCAGCAGTTTGTCTTCTCTGGAGTTGCCCTGCTTTGCACATCTTCTCAGTGATGTCACCAGCCAGGTGCCTCATCTTATGAAGCCCACAACTTAATCCCTGCTGCCCCCCCCCCCAAACCAGTTAGACCGACACTTACGATCCCAGCACCTCCAAAAAGTCAAACACCTCCCGTATGTCATCTGTGCTCTTTGTGCACATGCAGGGTCCCTCCATGCGGCCCATAATGCCTTGCTGGAGACTCCTGTAAGGCAAGAGAGCCACTCACCCAGCTATACTTCACTCTGGCCAAAAACATTCTTGGAAAGTTGCATTTCTTTGAGAATAATTTTCCTTATAGGAGGTTACAAAGTAGCCAAACTGGCTTACAGACAATTTTTACTTGAAACATTTGTTGGGTAGATCTTTTGTACATATGTGTTCTGTACTGTGTCTGAAATTAAACTCACTATATTCTTAGAATTAGAATAATGTTCAGTATATTCTAAGAGGTACTGTGCCATGGTATCTGTACTGTGGTACGGTTAATATTTGAGGTACCTGTGTTATTATTATGTAACCGTATCATACATATGCTTTAGTATGTACAACGGTAGCGTTTCTTACAGGTAAAACAGCACAAGCATATACTGTCGGTCCCATTCGAATCTTGACTTGCTTCTGCATTACCGTCTACCGCCTGCTGTATAGTTTGCAACATCAAAGGCTTAACTAATTTACTTACAGCAGAAAGTCACAAGCGGCCACATACCATATACCTCCTTATAACCATACTTTCCGCACAGGTAATGCAATTTTACAGTGCGCGATTAGATTGCAGGAATGCAAACGTTACCAACCGGATAATTTAAGCATTATTATCCATACGCATTAAAACGGTACTTGAAAAACAAAATGACAGCAAATGAATTATATACCGAGCGGTATAATTAACATATAAACAGCACACTTGCATGTGCAGGGTGAATTTTACCTGTCGTGAAACACCGCAGATGACGATGCTGCGGACGTCCGTCCGATCAAACGATCCTGAAAAACACAAGCAGATGAGACGGAGCCCACGGCAGCTTATGGTCCCTTACGAAGCGGAAATAACCTGCTGGGTATGATTATAGGGCGATGACTTGCAAGTGGCTTGACTTCAGCTGAACCCAGGGAGGTATGAATGGAAGCCCGTTATGCTGACCTAGTCCTACTTGTCCTTGAGGCGATCGTAAGTTAATAAAGTTTGTGCTAATAAACTCATCGTTTTCAGTCGCATTAACATATTAAGCTCATTTCCAGTTCCAGCTACTTAACCATACACGTAAATTTGGTAAGCCATGTATTTTTATCTGTTGGAATTGACCGATATGATATTTTCGCTGAGAAAAGAAGCGATGTGACGTAAGAATACAGCATAAGTTATGCATTATAATTAAAGGACGCCCTTAAATGTATTTGTAATTTAACACTTAAAACGTTACTTAGATTTAAGATGGCCGACGTAATACAGAATAACAGCAGCAATATAACAGATAATAGCTTGGTTTACTTAGGTACCTGTGAGAAAATAAAGATAATAAACCTGCAGATAAGCATTTGAATAATGGCAATAACGTAATGAACAAAAGAAACACCTCTTAAACGAAATGACTGAATCATAATCATTATCATTAATGGACTATTGTTGTGTGTGTGAATCAAGCTTTTCCCCAAACCGAACTTTCCATCCATCTTCCAACTGTTTACCCTGGACAGGGTTGGGGAGGGGGGAGGAGGAGGATTGGACCCTACTGCATGCAGCATAGAGTACAAGGTTGGGGTACAGCCTGAACGGTATGCCAGTCCATCACAGGGCACATGCCTGCAATCACTCACTCACACACTCATTCACTCACAAACATTAGTGTGACTGCAGGAGGAAACCTGTAAAGTATAGGCAAAACATACAAACTCCACACACACAGAGTATGTAAACCCCCAAACCTGAAAGTAACTGTAGGACCAAGTAAGTGTCACACTGATTCTTTAATTACTCAGGCTATTGATATCAAGAGCACAGCTAGAACTTCTGGCAAAATATGTCACTTTGCCCCCCCCCCCACCCATTACATAATTTTACATATTTAAGGGCCCCTGTAAAGTGCTGGGCTCCCTGAGTCTGCCAGGGTCTCTATTTCCCTACTGCAGCCCTGATTGCCTGACTGATTCCCTACTTAGTGGCACAGTTAGTGAGAGGATGGCGCCGATTAGCCGTGCGCTAATCTAGGACAGCTCCCTGACCCCAGCTAAGGTTTTGTAATCGTGGGATTTCGGGACAGGAAGAAAAATAACACAACGAAACAACAAACCTGAACCATGTTTGAATTAACCCCCACAAGAGCTCAGGGACACTCCGTAAGAGAGAAAAGGTGTGTCTCGGGGGTCCCTTGTAAAATGACCATTAACCCCCCCACCCCCCCAACAGACAAACACACACACATCCCCAATCGGCAACAAGTATGTGAGAATTGGAGTCTCATTTTATTTATTTATTTATTCATTAGAATCGCCGTGTTATGTTAGCATCAAACACTAGCAGAATTAGCATTCACGTATAAATTTGCGAATCCATCCTGTTCAGCTGTTCTGCAATATTTATTAAGTAGGTGACTGAAAATCGCATTTCGACCAATCAAATGGTGCTGACACAACCAGCTGAGTTTGTTCACGCTTTTGGTCCTGCGAGTATGCAGGGCCACGTCAGCGCGGTTACGGGAAAACTGGTATGGAAGACTGTCAGTTCGGTTAGGGTTAGGGTTAGGTTTAGGGTTAGGGCTCAGGTACGCCTTGCTTCTGGGTGGCAGTGGGGAAGTGCCATTTTACTGGACTGCCAACCAGGGCAGCCCCTCCCTCCCCAAGACCTATGATATAATTCGAACACTGCACTGAAACTCCCGGGAGTCTTTAAGGTGAAGGGCATTCATTGCTGGGACGGCAGTGTTATGAAAATTGCTATAAAAAATACATTGATTTGAACTGAATCAGTGATTTTTGGATAAAAAGTACAACAAATAATCTTGGATACAGCAGAAATGTCTGCCCATAAACATGGGAATACCACAGGGTAATTGTCATGTCTAATTCTTCTGAAAATAAGAAAGGATGAATATGAATATGTATAGCACATGAAATGCTGAAGGGGTCGAATAGGGGTGATTGACCAATGGAAGTGGTTGACAGGCATGTTTAGCAACAGAGCATCATCCACTGCAGGAATCCAGCCAGGAGCTGAATGAGACCAAGAGCCAGCTTCTTGTCCCGCCCCTTGGGGCAGGTCCTCCTGATTGTCCTGCGCCTGTCCTATTCCCTTTAAACCCCTGCCTGCTCTCACACGCAGAGCGAGGTCTTGCTTCCATAAAATGTTCCTGCTGAACATTTAAACCACATCCATTGTCTCTCCCATTTCCTGTTGACTTTCTCCGCTCCTGCCCTCCTTCATCCCCGCTGCCCTCACACTCACCGCGTCTGCTTCTGTCCCATCTTCCATGCCTGTGTACGATTGGTCTTCCCAGCTTTTGACCCCTTCGGATCCGTGACCTCGACTCCTGCGACCTGCCTGCTGATTCCAGTTCTGGTTATCTGAGTTCTTTAATAAAACCCAATTTACTTGATCTCTGGTCCTCTGAGTTTCTGTCCTTACCAGGCGTGACAGTTCCGTGCAAGCTGGGTAGGATATATATTGTGACTCAGTATAGGAAGCACAGAACTGAGGTACAGAACAGCCCAGTGGCAGGTCAGCTACTGAAACAAGTTTGTTTCTGCTTTCTCAGTCCAGCCCTGGTCACATGTCCTTTAATCCCTAATCCAACAGGTTACTCTAATGCCTGATATTTTAAGCTTGATCTAAGCCCATATAATATAGATCTACAAATTCGCTTTTCTAATGAGTTAAAAGCAGCATAGCAGTGGTTATGAGATGAGAATCAGAGAAGTCATATAAAATTTTCCTTTTCTGACAACAGTTCCTTATATTATATGATTAAAAGTATGCTCTGCAAAAAAGGAATCACTTTGTACCCAAAAGCAAATAACTGCATTTAACTATACAAGCATCTTGTTGGGGATTATACTAAATTGTCATGACCTGCTCGTACGATCCTTCCGTGTGCCACGCCCCTCTCGTTACCTCATGTGAATTCCTGATTGTTCTCAGCTGTTCTGCTTTTCTGTCCCTTAGTCATGTGTATTTAAGTCCACGTCTGAGTTTGTATCCCCAGATCCATCATTGACGTTTGTCCTGTGTTGCTTCCCGATCTGTCAATAAAACCCCGTTTTTTGGACTCCTGTCTCCCGGATCTGCTTCCTCGCTACCCGTTCGTGCACAAGACATAACATAAATTGCCTGTGTAAAGATTCAGCAATTATTTCTATCCATTTCCATTCCAGGGGAAGAGATTCATAGCTCACATTATGCTATTCCTGAAATTTTAGGTGACAAAGCTGACTCAGAACCTTGCCAGTATCTTCACTACGTGGGGTCTGAATTGTTTGAAAGTGTTGAAATATAATTGGAATGTGTCTGTTATATGTTGATATGTGTTCACACTGTACAGTGCCGCTTCTGGGAACCTCGATCCATAGTCCGTCCAACAGACTGAGAGGTGGCCACGCTTCACATTAAGAACCCTGGATAGTGGCCACCTATCAAAATTGCAGCACCTGGGCTGTGGACCAAAAATCAAGCGCCCTGTACAAGGTCATGCCCATAATTCCACTGACCAATAACCCCAGGTGCCTACGGCTGACAGAAATAAGAAGACAAGGGCAGCTCTGAGAGGACAACAGGAGGAAGTGCAGGACTGCGACCTAAGCGCCAGCTGTAGGAACAGGACTGCGACCTAAGCCCCAGCTGTTAGGAACAGGACTGCGACCTAAGCCCCAGCTGTAGGAACAGGACTGCGACCTAAGCCCAACTGTAGGAACAGGACTGCGACCTAAGCCCCAGCTGTAGGAACAGGACTGCGACCTAAACCCCGACTGTAGGAACAGGACTGCGACCTAAGCCCCAACTGTAGGAACACCAAAGTCTGAACATGCCGCTTAAATGGTGGTTGTGTTAATGAACTGGCTCACTGTTCTGTCTCCCCAAAGTTCCTCCTAATCTCTCTTTTCATCACTTCTATAAACAACATTCATATATTTGGGAGGGACATTTTTAATGTTTCTATTTTTATCCATCTAAGGTTCCATTGTTTCACAAGGCTCACATTTCAACAACCAATAAGACAGACAGACAGACAGACTAGATAGATAGATAGATAGATAGATAGATAGATAGATAGATAGATAGATAGATAGATAGATAGATAGATAGATAGATACTTCATTGACCTCGAAGATTTCCACTGCAGTACACACTATATGAGAAGGACAGTAAGTTTATCGCTGTCATCTTTCTTTTCATAGACAGGGTTATTGTAACATTTTATCTGAAAACAGGAAAACCAGCTGGATGGAACGTTTCTGTTTTGGGTTATCCCACATTGGGGGGGGGGGGGGGTTGCTGATTACTTTACCAAATGTTGTTGTTTGTTGCTGCTCACCGCCATGGCTGCAAGTCCAAAACGGGCGTGGATGTTCTGTACTAATAGGTCATATGTTATAGCCTGGCTGTATGCCTTGCATGGGACAAATAAAACCCCTGAATTCTTAAAATATCCCTACTGACCAAGACATGATGGGTCCTCTCTTCGGCGAACGACAGGGGAAGTTAATGCCCTACACGTTTACCGTAATTTTGGATTAATTTTACCACAAAAAAAGACTCTTACTCCCCTCTTGTGGTTAATCGAGACGATTACAGAAGGATTCCGCTGTCCATTTTTCAGCTAAGCTTATTGTGTTATTGATTTTGTTATAAGAAAATGAGCAATTTGAGCCAAAACTATTACTTCTCACGAGTGTCCCTCTCATTGTTGTATTTGTTAATATATTTCATTGTGAAACTAATCTTCAGGAGGTACTTTTTTGATTGACCCTATGTGGATTTTTCGTTATGAAGCTGAAGAATTTTGTATTTCCGAGAACATTATAGAAATCACTTCATATTCAGCAGTAGAGCGAAGCGGTTTTCAAACTTTCAACGCTTTAAGGTCTGAGCTGCACATATGGAAAATCAGTTTAGCAAAGCAATCTGATGCTAATGACTTTTATAACACATTTTCTATATCATAAAAAACAAAATCCCATTTGCCAGTAAAGGAAAACTGAAATTTAAAAATTAAATAATACATTTTTGTAATAAAGTGTTGAAATTAACTGATAAGTAATAAAATAATTATGTAAATGATTAATTATTTAATGAATTATCTAAGTCTTACTACCGTTACTTACTATATGCTGTTTATAAACGAATTTTTTTCTGGATTTGACAGACATGTCGAGCTGTACGTGTGTTACCGGCATACAGGGGCGGATTAAGGTGCACAGAGGCCCCTAGGCTACAGTGGTCTGTGGGCCCCCCAACCCCGCCCCCCTCCGCGCCAATGGGGGCCCCCTTGCAGGCTGACACACGTGGGGCCCCTAGGCTTAAGCCATACCTAGCCTGTGCGTTAATCCGCCCCTGCCGGCATAGCAGTAATAATTCACACCATCCATTCACCCATTCTCTGTACCCGCTTGTCCTACGTCATCAAGGGGCTTACGTTGTTTTTATGTCTACATTGATCAAAAATATTGATCATATCTTTGGTCATATCGTGTATAACCCGCTAAGTCTCCAATAGTTAAAACAGTTTAGAACTGTATTTTTCATTACGAGTTTTTACATTTTCATTAGGCCTACTCTAATTAAAAAAGTAAATGTAACATTAATTGAAAGTCATCTCTCAATTAATTCGTTTTAGGCACTAGGTTAGCCCCCTGAGACACACGAAGTAAGTCATCATTGTTTTGTTAGCTTTATGTGATAAAGCCTCTGTCACAGGACACCAAAAATAAGCCTTTGCTGTTATTCACATTGGACAAAAGACATATCTTTCGCCCTATTTCATTTGATTCTGAGTTACCGTATTGGCCCGAATATCGGCCTTTCCAATACCGATATTGGTATATGGGATATAGAGCGCTGCATCTTGCCCGCGAAGTCCCAAAATTTATATTGTGTTTTTCTTGTGCGTACAAGAAATTGCATTGTGCGGACTTCACATTCACTTACAGTGAGGTGCTCCGAGTGTCCATTCATAGCACAAATGCTGTAATAACTGTTCTAATTAATATCTCTAAAACAGCATGATACAGAGAGATCTAGTAGAGTTTGCTTTGTGCGATGGAATGGGGGGGGGCAATGCACACAAGATATAAAAATGTTTGTGAAGGAAACTACCTGTAATTTTATTCATCATGATCATGAATTGGGCTAACTATGAAACTGATTTTAATGTAATTTGCAGAAGCAACTATAGGGGGCGGTTTCCACAAAGATCCGCTCTAAGTTAGCAGAACTCAGATACAACAGGAAAAAATGAATGGAATCTGAACAGCAGCCTAGCAAAGTGAAATTTGTAGTCAAAAGTTAACAAATGTTTTTATGAAGTTAAATAAATGTTGATTTAAAATTGAATTTTGCCTGCCATTTTAAGTATTTAAATAAATTATCTACAAATAAATAAGTCAATAAAATAATAGTAGCCTAATAATTATTAATTAAAATACATTAGTATATAAAATGTAAGTAAAGTCATTAAAACTATTAAATGTATGACATTGTAATATATTCACATATATAAAAAAAATATTTCAAAAATACAATCAAGGCTAGTTATCAGACAGCTATTGGAAATCATGAGTTTATGCACGCAGTTGCTCAATGTGGAAACGTTTTTCATGAATCTCGATCTCCATATGCCTTCATTTCCATTGTCCGCGGTCGCTGTTAAACTCCCCCTCAGTGGGTGACTGTGTCCAAAATAGCCACCAAACATGTGTTAAAGTTTAGAGCGTGCGATGGCCCAACTCACTTTTGCCCAGTTAACTCCATGACCGGCAGACCACCCCTGTAACACATTTCTAAGTACAATACAGTGGGGGATCGAGCCCCGGACCGACACCGGTCCAGACTACGCCCACTTTACTATCGCTCCAGCGGGAATATCTGCGTTGACGTGGAATAAGGTCCAGCAGTGCCTGATTTTTAACTGTTAATACGTTTCCCCGTACGATTAAGTTCATTACTCATCATGCCTGCCGACTACAGCGGAACGTGGGACATTGTCACCAATGTCAACTTTGAAGGTTACATGGTGGCGATTGGTGAGTATATGCTCGTATTGTATGTTTCATATACTGTATAAACTTAAGTTTAAATTATTAGAAAACTTCACTTCCTTTCCTAGAGACGCATTACGAGACAATGCCGCAGCATCCCGGTCTCCAGTCTGTACTGAGTGATACCTATATAATTTTAGTAAAAAAAAAAACACCCAAAAGCTGAGAATGTTTCTACAGGCTGAAACTTATTCACATTTTCACCGGTGGTTGCCTAACTTCCCTCCGGTGTTGCGGTGCGATGGCGATATACACCCAACGGCCATGTTTCTCTAAAGGCTACCTTGTTCATGTTATGTTTCTAGATCAGTGTTTCTGTATTTCAGAAGATTCTTTTTCATAATACGAAATGTGACGAACTAATAAAAAAAGAAACTAAAGAAGGATATTAAGTGCATGACTCGTGATGCCAAAGGGTGGTGATTGGATTAGGAAATTAATAATATGGTGGTAATACATTCGATGTATGGTTCTTAGTTTAAACCCCCGAGACCTGAGGCGATCTCATTCATTGACATCTGTGACATCCAAGGCGTAGCGGAGCTAATTACATCATAACCGGTGGTCGGGGAGCCGATCTGAATGGACAAGTAACCCAGACAAGCTTACCCGTTTCTTCTCGCTAGTAAATCGATTTTTATTCATTGATGGCACGAAATTGAATGCTTTATTATAGTTCTGTAGTTGTCTTCCCCAGACAGAAAATACAAATGGTTCTGGGACAGGTCCGTTGCCCATACAGCATACACTCTCTGGCCATAACTCAAAAAATATTTGGCGTAACTTCTTCCAGCTGTGCAGACACATTCTATGATGAAGCAACTCTGCTTAGTGGCAGCAAAGGGGAGGGTGACTGCAGACGACATTTGACCTTGCGAATATGTGAAGTGCTATCCAATGGATTTTATCACTATATCACAAAAACATTATATAGATCAAGATCTACACTTGATTTCATTTTGAGATTTAAAAAAAAAAAAATCAAGCAGCCGGACTTTGTGGTAAAATGGAAAGAAAGGGAAGCTGTACAAGATAATTGATCTTGTGAATACAGTAACTCTAAAAGTACTTAATATTTTTTTGTTCAAACTTGGGAGACACATTATATGGGTGAAGATCTGAAAGTGGTCAGATTTTGAGATAGACTGCCCCAAAACTGAAGCAGCACCACATAGTGGTTAAATAGGGCGAGGAAGTGCTGGGGTAATTTTGGGAAAACATTGTGATCATGCTAACAGCATCTAGTTGTTTTAGCAAAGGGGACACACTAGTCGTTAAATGTCTTTTCCATTGTCATTGTGACCAGTCGGTTGATCCTGGTTGGTGGACATATTTTCAATAACTCTCTCAACCACAAGCAGTGATAGTCAATTCTTAGAAATCTGATTATAGCTGCTCACACGGTCACACCATTCATCTAATGTCAATCTATTTTCATCTATTCATCCGAGCATCAATCTTGCATATCTGCTTATGCAGTACAGGGTCATGGTGAGCTTAGAGTTTGTCCCAGGACACACAGGGCATGAGGCAGGTTATATCCTGGACCTGCCAACCATAGAAACACATTAATAACATAATTTAAAGAAACATAATTTTAGGGAAACAAGGTCCTGAACTCAGAACATTTTATTGCTAGTATGTGGAGCATCCAGGAATCGATACGGTTGGTCCCAAATGAGAAACTTTGGCCAATAATAATAAGCTGTTTTCTTAGCAGCTGAAATAAATAGCAAAAAGCACAAAAACAAGAAGCACCCATAGTGGTAATTTACTGGTTCTTGAGAGCCCTTGAGTAACGTCTCTGCCCCCGTAGGCATCGATTTCGCCACACGGAAGATCGCAGGCATGCTGAAGCCACAGAAAGTGATCGAGCAAGACGGGGACTCCTTCATCATCAAGACCCTCACAACCTTCCGGAACTACACCTTCTCCTTCAGAACTGGGGAGGAGCTTGATGAGGTGACCAAAGGCCTGGACAACAGGAAGTGCAAGGTGACCAGAAGAAGCCCCTGCACACCCAGACACAGGGTGACCTCTAGTGACCTCTCCCGTCACATGATCATGTGGTGACCTATGAATTTTTTACCCGCAAATTTTAACAAGTGTTTTTTTTATGAGCAACAGATGAGATGAGTTCTTATTGTTAAACATAAAAATACATATATCATGACATTAACCAAAACATGAGATTTCATTTAAAAAAATGTAAAGAACTGACCAACGGTGTAGGACAGATTGATATTTGGTGGGGGGGCACAACTTAATTTGTATACAAAAATATTTTTTATTTATTTATGATTGAAAACCAATGAAATATTGGGGGGTACATGTCCCTCCCATCTCCCATGGTTCTGACGCCCCTAGGACTAACATCATTTCAGATATCTGATGCAGGAATGTATCACAACACACCCATGAAAAGCACCTTATATATAAAAATAGATTGAATTGAATATTTCCCTGCGCAAGTATTCCTGTTAACAAATTAAAAAGATCAGTCATACTTCTGTACAATTTAATAACACAAACACATTTCGAGTAGCATTTCTGAGGAAACAGCTGCTGTACGTATGGAAGACCGCCATTAATAGTGCTCCTTTTAATCTGACGTCTGATGGCTTCATCAGCGCCATCTAGTGGTAGTGTCTAAGACACGACGCTCATATGAATATAAGGCCGTTTACCTAGTTGAAATATTTTCCGGTGAAATGGCCTCAGGTTCGCTGAGTCACACCATGATTGTAAAAACGTGAACTTCTTGTATTCTTGACTTTGAAAGACTACACAAAGACAGTATGAAAGCCTGTATTTCCACTGAAGACAGAGAGTTTTCTGGATGAGGTTACTTGTGACAGTTCAAGTAAAAAAAAATGGCGAAACTTAAAGCGGAAGGTTCACAAGGGGCAGCTTTGTGGGATGTGGCGGAAAGTCATACGTTTTGATTTTGTGAACGCATTTGTATTCAAAATCACAATGAGATATTTTTATACACATTGTAGCAACTGGACATTAACGTATACAGTGCTGTTGTGCTTCGATAAGGTGGTGAAGTCCGCTGTCACGAATGCCGTAACTCTGCCGTGTCCACAGACGGTGGTGAACTGGGACAACAACAAACTAGTATGTGTGCAGAGGGGTGAGAAGAAGAACCGAGGATGGACTCACTGGCTGGAGGGAAACGAGCTTCATCTGGTAAGGAAAGTCCATACTGGCCAGCAGAGACACTCAGACAGTGCATGAGCTGCCACATTGTATATGGGGCTTCTGCACAATATGGTGGGATCATGGCCAGGATCCTGCTAAGTCCCCATCAAACCTCAGTGTCCAGTCACAGCCTTTCAGTCCAAAACAACTTCTTTCCTCTAAACTTCAACTGTTTCGTTCTCTTTCAGGAGATGCACTGTGAAGATCAAGTGTGCAAACAGGTCTATAAAAAAAGTGCCTGATCGCAAAACCAGTGGGCAAAGGGACAAAGGGCAAAACTGAATTATAGTGCCAAAATAGATGCATAATATTCATGGTAACTTTTTTATATATAAAAGTTTATTGCTCCCTTTTTCGGCTGTTTTAAGTTCCCACCATTACACATGCAAGTGTGTGAGAGATATCAACAAAAATCTGTTGTTTCGAAATGACAGAGAGTCTTATCTTATTTTCCATTTTAAAGTGAAACTTTAATTTAATTTAATTTTATGCTGCATCATGTCAGTGATTGTGAAGTCACATACATCATTTAATTTTCAAATTTAAAACGTTTGAATAAAACTTTGGGACATCACACAAGTATTTTTTTTTCAATGGGACACCATCCCTGTCTGTGTTTTTCCCCATAGAAACACAAATCCTGATTTATACGATATACGGGGACATGCCAACATGATATGGGGGGGGCACATGATATATGGGGACAGGCCTACATGATATGTATCATTTTCGCGTTGTTCCAGTCTTGGGAATTCCCCAGTAAAATTCATGGGCATGTTTCAGCTATAAAAGAAAATGTATAACTAAAGTCCAGTGGCTGTATGTCATGTTGGGACCACTTCTTTCTCATCTTGGGTTTATGTTTGTATACAGGTTATTTTCCACGTTTCCACTAGCTAATAACCTGACACACCACAGCAGTTCACTTTACAGCATACAGGACACGTGCTGAAAGACCAAATCTTCTGCTCAAGTGAATCCTTACTGTGATTCTCCTTTTCAACTGGCTATTTTATATGCACGTTGCCATGGTGGCAGGTAGTTTTCACAGGCTGCAGGTGTGAGCATTGCACAGGACTGTCAAAGCCGATTTTTAACCCCCAGGTCTCAAAGATTAGAGGAAAAAACATTAAACGGCTATGCTGACAGTTCCAGGAGAATATCAAGTAGCGTGATGATTAAGGACGCAGAACTTTCCCAGCAGGACCGGCTATGAACTGGGGTCTGCAAAGCCATGAGATAAGTGATTTGACAGCACCCTCTGGAAACAAGTTGGGATCTTCACAGCGTGAAGTCCGTGTCAACCTGCATAGCAGCAATACCGGCAGCGTAGTATTTAAATAACCCCATAGCCTTTGCCCTGGAGGTCGTCGACAGCAGCACCGCGGAAGAACCGCTACGGCGAAACTCTCCTCCCCAGCAGCAGCGCCGCCCATCGTCCCTTTTCGCTTATCCGATCCGACGGCGCTGATTGGCTCCTTAGGCCAGCCTGCTCGCGGCTGCCAAGATTGCAGTCACGTGACCCTCCACTTCCAAAATGGCGGCGTTGTTGTTTTGATGAATAATACTTTGTGTTTGTTTCATTATAGATTCCCGTTAGAAATAGTAAGGAAAAATACAACCCTTATGGTTATTTAATTTTAAACGTATATATTAAAGTAAGCAAGACTTTCAAAGATTTGTCGTATGCGTAAGACTATGCACTTTTGGTCATACTAAATTTGGAATAGAAGGTTAGCTGGCTATAGAAGTGAAATTGAAATTAGCTAGCAGATAACAAAAAAGAGATGGAAGAGTTGAGTGCCGACGAGGTAAGATTTATATGCCTTAAAATCTAAAATAAGTATCTGATGAATATATTTGAGTGTTTTTACCTTCGACAGATGCCTTGGCTGTTTAGTCTTCTGTCCACCTAGCTAGCTATCACGCTGCCACAGAATACTCTTCCTCATCACCGTTTTGTTGTCGTGGGACTTTAGGCCGAGCATTGACATCGAACTTTTTACAATTCAAATCCTTTTTCTGTATTAATCGTATCTGATTGTACGCGTAGATCGCTTGTAGTGTGTCATTTTATTGTGCGTTGTCGCGTACTGTGAAATGTCTCCCTCCCCGCTCCGAAGGAAAGCGGTGATCCTGTTTACGTTCACAGTTATTACTCTGTGCAGATGTTGCTGTCTGCCTGGCTAGCTGACGAAAGTTGTTTAAAACACACAATTACATTAGCCTTGTAATATCGTGTTTTGGGGAGGGGTTCCCCGGCTGCCATTATTTCGGCTGACGTAGACAACGTTTTGATTGTACATGTAGGAAGTCAAATGAGTTCACAAAGGAATTTTACTAATCGCTCCCAAATTGCGTATTCATAAAATATTCCATATGCATTTTAAAGTAAACATTTGCTATATCCAATATTCTTGTAAATGTATTACTTAAAAAAAATTCTCAAATCCTGCCATTACAAAATAAATCGATTACTTTTCTGTATCCTTTCTCAGTTTTCAGTGAAGGCAAAGATTTCCACACTTGTATATGGAACAGTATCTGTGGAAAGGAATATAATATTATTTCCTGTATTGATCACTCAAAATTAAGGAACTGCCTTTAACAGGCTATGATCATCATTGTTAAATAAGTTCTATGTAAATAACATGATAGCAAGCATAAAATATTTTTCTGTATATTGTTTGAACCACCATAGTTGGTCTGTTTTATATCTTTTGGACTTTTGTGAGTGATGTCAAAGTCCTTCAGTAATGATTCTGAATATGATACTGGGTGATTGTTATGAAATGTTTAGTGTGTCATTTGAGTGCTCATAGTTTACTTTAACTGGAAAGCAACATTTAAAAAGTCACCTACCAGTATCTATTCAGCCGTCTGACACTGTGAGCCCAGCATGTTTGAAGGAGAAGCCGGTTGTACTTTTGCTTTGCTCTGTTAACCCATCGTTGGTTTAGCTAAATATTTAAAGGAAGCCAACACTGACACAGAGGTGCTCAATAAAGCAGTCACAACAATACGCAACACTTGTACATCTACAGCAGGGTTATTCAAATCACGGTCCTCGAGGTCTGAGCACTGCTGGTTTTCCAGCATTCCTTTACCTGTCAGTCAGGTGTGAAGCCTCTGACCAATCAGAATCAGTAATTATTAAACTAGCTACTTGGGAGAACTGAACACAAGGCCTGGATTTGGAATCGAGGTCCAGATTTGAAGAGCCCTGATCTACAGATACAATGTTTCATACCACTGGTCAGCATTATGAAAGCACTACCAGTACAGCTGTTTTACATAGCTATGAACAACGTGTGGTGGATGGATCTGAGAGCCTTAGCTAGTAAAGAGGAATTCTGTCACTCGTTGCTTTATTCTACCTTTGGAGGGAAAGTTCAGTTCGCTGGGGTTGTCATCACTGCATGCTGATAGGAAGACCTGTAGAGGTGGCCTGTGTATTTGCCAAGCATTTACAGGTGGCTAGTCTGCGGCATCGAGAAATTGCCACATCTCCAGCCAGAGCCAGATGCACTTCACTGCTGTCTGTAGGGTCTGAAGATGCTGGTTAGCCTGGCAGGGTGTGTACTGCAGAGGGTGGTCGCAGTGGAGTCTGAAACAGATTTGGCCCTGATTCTTCAGCCCCACATTTATTGTAAGTGCATCCCCAAATAACCGCAAAACATCCATTAATAAAGGACAGTATCGTATGGCTTCCCTAACGGAGGATCAGCACCCAGTGATTTTCAGTAGTAAACTGGTCATGAAGTTAAGTCAAGTTGGGACGTTTGTTGTACCATCTGTAAACAAGTATACAGAGGCAGCAGATAAGGTTCTCCCTGGACCATGGTGTGACATACAGGCAGCAAGTGACAAGGACGTCTTCACAACAATATATCGTGGCGAAAAATGAGCATGCGATCAACATTGTGATTTTAACATTTAAAGAAGTGCAAGTAGATCTTAAATCAGATCTAATGTGATTCTGAATCCCCAAACAAATTAACATTAACTTAACCCAGTGGGCTTTTTTGGGTGGGGGGGGGTCCTTTATTAATATGCCTGGAACATCTTATTAACCTGCACGACAGCAGAGACTGAGGTGTAAATTTATCTGTAGGTTTTTAATTTTTTTGTCCTCGTTTTGCGGGCTAAAAATCACATTTTCAGAATCATATTCTGAAGCAGGACCGAGAATCTCTTTATGACTTATAAAGCTGTTCACAGTTGGCTGATATAATAGGCTCACCTGTATTTTGGTTTATTCTCAGTGGGTGAAGGTGTATGTGACCCGTCCAGAGGTTTTGGGGGAAAATAAATATTGCTAAACTCCGGTGTATTTTTATGCAGCGTTGCAGGGGTTTCTGCGGTGCCTTTGCCTTGCATCAGATATCTTGATTTATTTTATTTATTTTTTTGGTTTACACATGACGTTCAAGGTCGCAGAGGGACGCCCCTGTATTACTAACCTACCCAAATATCGGTGATGGTCCCTCTTTTATTAATTGTTGCCGAAATAAAAATGAACCCGTTTAATTGATTCAACCACCACATGACATTCATTCCAGTTTTTTAGTGCTGAGGCATCTTCGGTGTACTCCCACTTTCCCACAATCCTCCTGAGAGGCTGGATGATTTGTACTGTGAGTCTCTGCAGCCAACAGCCTTTGTTTTACCTCCCACAGAAAAGATACCCGAATTGTTTAAAAGAAAACAAGTTTATAAGTTTCATTAAGTAATAAAAACTTGCACCGTGACAATGTAGCAAATAACGTGGGGGTAACGACTATCTGGGGGGCCTTGGGGTACGGGCTGTAGTGTCCTGGCTGGTTGGCATCGTCTGACCGGCAGGTCTTTGCCGCAGATCCGGAGAAGGCGCCTAGCCCGGCTGGCGGGAGGGCAGACGTCGCAGCCCACCACACCCCTCAGCACCCCCCTGACCTCGCCGCAGAGGGAGACCCCGCCAGGCCCTCCGCACGCCCCCCCACAGGCCCTGGGGCTCAGCGTCCACAGTATGACTCCTGCCACCTCCCCCATCGGGGCCACCGGTAAGCTTGTCCGAAGAAAATCGGCGGTCGTGACTTAACGGGGGGGGGGGGGGGGGGGGGGTCATCGCTGACTAGGCCTTAATGGGCCCTTTGTCGCAGTGGACGAAAAGAAAAGTCAAGCCCTCGTAATGTACTGACATTTTTCATGCTGAGATTCCAGTGAGGAAGCTCTCCTATTGCCTTCTCAGCTCAAAAGTCATAACCTCAAAGTTCACGCACGTGGTCTGTAGACAGCGTGTGTCCTGAATGGGACTGACTCCCTCCTACATTAAAGAGAGATGCAGAATAATCCTCATCCTCCTTTTCTACACGACCTTCTAGAGGCATCATTAATAATCTGGACTCTCTGGGACTAAAGGCGATCCAGCCAGAGAGACTAGCGGGTTCTCTGAAGGGGATCTGGGGAACTTCCATGTGCCGAACCTTGACAAAATGTCGTGGGTGCATTTCCCCTCCTGGCCCCCAGGGGTGGCATACCGCAGTCAGAGCAGCGAGGGAGTCAGCTCCCTGTCCAGCTCACCATCCAACAGCC